TGGGGCCACAGTCGGAGCTCCCTATGCGGCCACGAAGCGTGTAAAGGGTGTGCCGAAATGGGGCGGCGTGCCATGCAAACCATGCCACTGGGGCCTTCGGCGGAGCTCCCTATCGGGCCGCGAAGCGTGTGAGGGGTGTGCCGAAACTAGGCGGCGGTGCCATGCGACCTTTCCCACTGTGGCCTCTAGGTGGGAGTCCCTATAGGGCCACAAAAAGTGTTAGGGGTGTGACGAAATGGAAAGGCGGTGACATGCGAACTTTCCCACTGGGGCCTGAAGTGAAAGTCCCAATGGGGTCACGAGGCGTGTGAGGGGTGTGCCGAAATGGAGCGCGGTGCCATGCGAACTTTCCTTCATTGGCCTTAGATGGAGCTCCCTATGGGGCCACGAAGCGTGAGAGAGGTGTGTCGAACTGGAGTCGGCGGTGCCATGCGAACCCTGCCACTGGGGTCTCCGGCGGGGCCACGAAGCGTGAGAGAGGTGTATCGAACTGGAGGCGGCGGTGCCATGCGAACCCTGCTGCTGGGGTCTTCGGCGGAGCTCCATATGGGTCCACGAAGAGAGCGAACGGTGTGCCGAAATTGAAACGGCGGTGCCATGCGAACCCTGCCACTGGGCCCTTCGGCAGAGCTCCCATAGGGCCACGGAGCGTGTGAGGGGTGCCGAAATTGAAACGGCGGGGCCACACAAACCCTGCCACCACCTCGCGCGCGGCCCCTGGGAGCTCAGAATTGCAAGCGTTTCCCAAGCGAAAGGGCCTGGACCACTTTTCGGGAACGGCGTCTGGGAGCCCAGAGTTTCGAGGATGTCGCAGGCGAAATGGCCCGTATCACCTCGCGGACGCCCTCTCGGAGCTCTGATTTACGAGGATGTCTCAGGCGAAAGGCCCAAGCCAGGACAACTCATGAACGAGAGTTGTGAGGATGTGTCAGGCGAAGCGGCCCGAACCGCCAGAATCTTTGTGAGGACGTCTCTGCTGGACGCTCCCGCGGCCGGAACTAGCTTTTATCTCAACAACAGCACCCCAATCAGCACAACTGTAGGGGAAAACAACATACCCGCACCACGCGTTCCTTGAAAGCCGGCCCCTTTTCCTCCGGGCACAACCGGCGGTCTGACCCGTGGGGCAGGTACCCGAAAGAAAGGCTGGGGGAGGAAGAGGGAGAAGGCTGAGGAGAGAATTTACCAGCCTCGAACGTATCCCTATCCCTAAGATTGAGACGCCAAAAGGCGATGACAATCTCAGGGATTCGCCCTCAAAAAATAAGGGAATCCCTAAGATTGGCATCGTGATGAGGAGGTGCCCAGCACAGGGATAGGGACATGTTCCAGGCTGGTAAAGAATTGGCATGTTTTTCTTTTTCGCGACGTCGGCGGCGCGCAGTCCGCGACAGAAGCCCTGGGAGGGTGGCCGGCCAAAGGTCTCTTCCTTTCTGTTCGGTCCCCGCTGAGGACTGCTCTGCGAACGAAGATCGGTGGAAGCTCGCTCAGCGCATTCGCCGAGCGAGGGTTGAACCAAAGACGAGGAGGTGAGGCGGGGGAGGACAAGGGGAAAGAGGACGACAGAACGATGACGAGGGACGGATAGAATAGGTGGGGGGAAGAGGACGATGGCAAATATGAGGAGGGCGACGAGGAGGGCGGGAAGGAGGACAAAGACAAGGATCATGGTCAGAAGTGTCTGGAGAACGACATCTGGGATGGCTAAGGCCCCTGGGACACCGGCTACATACACCAACAAATGACTGGTAGTAGTCCGCCACCGCGCCTGCGCGACAGTCCCCCCCCAACCCCTCTCACCGAAGAGTCGCCCGTGCATCGCCCCTCCTCCCGAAGGCCCCCTGGGCATCCGGGCGCCTCCCCGGCGCTCTCGAAAGTCTTTGCGGTGCTCAAGATGGCGTCGAATGCGGCCCCCGCGCGCCACGAATGCCGCCAAGATTGCCCAACACGCTTGATTACAATTCAGCCCCAAATTATCCCGGGACGGCCCAAGATGGCCCCCAGACGGCCTCCAGAGGGCGCCAGGAAGGCCCATGATGCCTCCAGTGCAAAACAAAAGCGCGACAGATTGGCCCAAGACGGCTCCGAGAGACCCCGGGTGCTGCTTTCGAAAGCGCCCGACGGGATAGGTGCGCCCGAAGTCAACCCGATAACACCTTAGGGGGCCGCAACAGGCCCCCAGCACCCCCCCCCCCGCCCCCCCCAGCGCCTGCCCCAGTCGCGCGATGGCGGAAGCCTGCGGGCGCGCTTGGGACATCTGTGGGCTCTGGGGAACGCCACAGTGGGCGGCGCGTCGGGGGCCTTCGTGATGGCGCTTGGGGCCTCTCTGTGGGCTGCGTCGGGGCCCTGGCGGGCACGCTCGGGGGCCCGCTTGGGGCCTCTGTGGGCTGCGTCGGGGGTTCCTGGCGGGAGTGCTTGGGGTATCTGCGGGCTGCGTGGAGGGCCCCAGTGGGCTGCGTGGCAGGGCGCCTTTGAGCGCGCTGAAAATCCCTGTGGGCGGTTTATAAGGGCCTCCATAGGCTGTGTCTGGGGCCTCCCTGGGCGCGTCAGGGGCCTCAGTGGGCAGAGTGTTGGGCCTTCTGTGGGCAGCGTCGCGGGGCCTCTGTGGGAATCGTGACAGGGCGGCTGTGATTTGCAAGGGAGAGCCTCAGTGGGCAGGTTGTTGGGGTCTCCGTGGGCGCGTTTGGAGCCTCATGGGCTTCTTCTTGGGCCACTGTGGGCTGCGTGGGCTGCGGGGGTGGGGCGGGCGTGGGGGGGGCCTCTGTCCACTGCGGGCGTGCTTGGGGCCTCAGTGGGCTGTGTCTGGGGCCACTGTGGGCTGCGTCGGGGGCCTCAGCGGGCGGCGTGTTCGGGCGTCTGTGGGCGCGCTTGAGGCCTCGGTGGGCTGCGTGCTGGGGCCTCTCTAGACTGTTCGGAAAAAAGGGGGGGCCTCGGTGGGCTGCGTGCCGTGGCCTCTGTGGGCTGTGTCTGGGGCCTCTGCGAGCTGGGGACTCCGTGGGCTGCTTGGCGGACTCTGGGTGCGCTCGGGGTCTCTTTGGGCGATGGCCGGGCCCTCAGTTGGCAGCGGGGCGGGGTGGGCAGCGCGGCGAGGCCTGTGGGCAGCGTCGTGGGGCTTCTGTGGGCTGCGTCTGGGGCCTCTGTGGGCAGCGTGGCGGGGCCTCGGTGGGCAGCGTCGTGCGGCCTCTGAGGGCTGTGTCTGGGGCCTCTGTGGGCAGCGTGGCGGGACCTCGGTGGGCAGCGTCGTGCGGTCTCTGTGGGCTGTGTCTGGGGCCTCTGTGGGCAGCGTAGCGGGGCCTCGGTGGTCAGCGTCGTGGGGCCCCTGTGGGCTGTGTCCAGGGCCTCGGTGGGCAGCGCGGCGGGGCCTCAGTGGGCAGGGCAACCTCGTGGGGCCTCTGCGGGCTGTGTCTAGGGCCCCTGTGGGCAGCGTGGCGGGGCCTCGGTGGGCAGCGTCGTGCGGCCTCTGTGGGATGTGTCTGGGGCATCTGTGGGCAGCGCGCCGGGGCCACAGTGGGCAGCGTCGTGGGGCCTCTGTGGGCTGTGTCTGGGGCCTCTGTGGGCAGCGTGGAGGGGCCTCGGTGGGCAGCGTCGTGGGGCCCCTGTGGGCTGTGTCCGGGGCCTCTGTGGGCAGCGCGGCGGGGCCGCAGTGGGCAGCGTCGCGGGGCAGGAGGGACACGAAAACCTGACAAATAATATTGTACTAGTACTCGAATGCCCTCCTCGCTCTGGCGGGGCCTCCCAGGAGGGTCGGGATGGGCACGAGCGAACTCCCTCCTCGCTGTCTTGGGGCCTCCCAGGAAGGAGGGGGAGGGGCCGCGAGACCTGTAAATTAGTCAGGTGCTCGAGATGCCCTCCTCGCTCTGTGGGAGGAGCGGGGCCTCCCAGGAGGGCCTCGACTTCCGGAAGCTCCCGGGAACGCTCCCGGGGACCTCCTGGAGACCTCGGAGGGCGTCAAAATGAGAAAGCCCAGACTGTGAATCAACAAACAAGAACAGGATGTTCTTGCTGTTAGACTTAAAGTCCACAGAACCCTCAGATATCCCCACAATCTGGGCGCGAGGGGGCCCGAGTAAACCCGCCTCGCTCGAGACATGCTCGTCGTGCTCCTGTTCGTATTCGTCGTCGTCGTCCAGGGGCTGGGGGCCAGGGGCTGGGGGCTATGGGCAGGGGGCTAGGGGCCACGGGCCAGGGGCCGGGGGCCAGGGACCAGGGACCGCGCGGGGACCGGGGACCGGGGACCAGGGACCGGGGACCAGACTGAGGAATTCCACCATTGTGCCGAAATGGATGCGGCGGTGCCATGCGAACCTGCTACTGGGGCCTTCGGCGGAGTTCCCCATGGGGCACGAAACTTGTGAGGGGTGTGCCAAGATGGGATGGTCGTGCGGACAGCAGGGGCAAGGATCGGAGGAGGGGGAGGGCAGCGGGAAAAAAGAAATAAAGAAAGGAGACGCGGGGCGCTGCCTTCTCAAAACGACGACCCAGCACCACAGGATATTTAGGACAATTCGCATCATGTATTGAAGCGTTGTGCTGGTGCAACTAGTTGGGGTGCTCGGGACCTCTCCCTAGGCTTAGACGGCGTCACGTGATGATTACAAGGAATACCGCTGCGAATGGCCCACGGATGCAAGAATGGCTGACTCTTCGCGTATCCCCACCATCCCAAACGGAAACGATGCCCTGGAAAACTTGTAGGGGCAAAATCTGGGGCAGCAAAATGCAGAAGACATAACACGGTTTCTAAAAGAAACAGGCTGAGCCTTCGCCCAGTGCCCACGCGGAGGGTGCACCGTGAATCCACGCCGCAAGCAAAGCCGCGGCGCGCGGGAAACCCTTCACCCCGCGCCGCCTGTCGCGGCCCGCAGGCAGCCCGTTCAGGCCAGGCCTGCTGGCCTTCGCTCGACCGCCCGCGGAAACTTCCAGAGGCTTTCGGTAAGCATCGTTCCTGTAATGTTTTTGTTTTGTTCATGCCAGTGCCCTCGCCGAGGGCCTCATGCGTGGCCAAAAACAATTGGGCATCGTTTAACCCGCCCTAATCCCCACTGGCGAGGCGTAAGCAGCGTTCCTGTAATGTGCACGCTCACGGCACCGGTGGCAGCCTCGAGGCCACGCTGGGCAAGCATGGACACAGCCAACGCTTCCGAGAGTGGCGAAGAGAGCGCCGCCAGGGCGTGCGCTAAGAAGAAGCCATGACCTGGTCACATGAGCGGCCGTTCCAGAGCGCTCGGGAACGCTCTGAGAGCGTTTCGGAACACGCTGGGAAGATTTACCCCAGTCCTAGGCCCTCCCGGTGCGCGCCCAGGCCCCTATACTCCTATCGACCTCGGCCTGCCTCGGTCGGCGAGAGCTTTGGGCTGCAGCGGGCGCTTGCGCGTGAGACTCCGGAATAGCGCGTGCGCGTCTGAAATCTTGGGCAAGAAGACCAGGCGGGCCCTCCGGAAGCCACGGCGAGCGGCGCTGGAGGGCGGGTAGCGTTGGGCCGCGTTGAGCGCGAAGCCCTGGATCTTCGCCAGGAGCACCTCGAGACAGCCAGCCTCCAGCGCATGCCCGCCCACCTCGCAGGTGCCTTGGAACGCCTCGGAGAACGCGCCAGCGACCTGAGAGGTCAAGAAGATGACGAAAGCCATGCCGCGGTCAGCGTTGAACCGGCTCCGCAAGTCCGAGCGGAGGTGCACGAGGTCGCACTCGAGTGCGAAGCCCGCCCTCTCAAGCTCGAGAACGAAACTCTCCTGAGTGACGGCCTCTTTCTTTCACGTGACGCAGTGTGACCGTGGCGAAGCCGCCGGCTGCGCTGGTCGCAAGGGCCCGCGTCGTAGCTGCGCCCGGCGGGCACGGCGCCGACGGGCCGGGCGGGCAGCCCGAGATGCGGCCGGCCCGCGGCAGCTCCTCGGCCGCCGCACCCCGCGGCGACGTGCCCTCCTGCACGGGCGGCCGGCGTCCGTGCCAAGGCAGGGCCACCCTGGGCCCCAGGATGGTGTATACGCCCCTCCTGGCCGAGGCCACGAGGAGCTATATACACCATCCTGGCGCCCAGGATGGCCCTGGCCTTGGCACGGTGGCAGGCGACAGCTGCATCGAATCGACATCGAATCGGAATGATTGGACGCCCGAGTGATCCGGGGTAACTCGGGTCCGGGGTAACTCGGGTTTGGATTCCCGAAAAACGAACCCGAGTTATCCCTGACCCGAGTTACCCCTGATGATTCGGGGCTCTGAAATGATCCCTGCGGTGGTGGTGTATAGATGCCTTCGTCGGACCTCCTGCACGGGCGGCCGGCGTCGCGGAGAGCCCCTCGAGCCCCTCGAGCACCGGCCGCCTCAGGAAGGCTCTGAATGGGGCGCGGCGGGCACGGCGAGCTCCACTCCACGCGGGCCTTCGCTAGGGTCGGGCACGTGCCCTTACAGGGTGGTCTTGGGCGAGAGATTCAAAATACCCCCACGATGCCCCCAAATGGCCAACAACTGCTCAAAGCATCGTCCCCAGACTGTTTTTTTACTACTGCTTTCGAATACTCCTCCTGTAGAGGGGCAGGCCCGCCTCAAACCTTCGCAAGCTCGCCGATGCTGCGCTTTTCAGCGGCCGACGACAAAACGCGGAACCGACCGGGCGCAGCGCCGTCGAACACAGGGTGTGCCATCTAACCTGGGCTGCATAGCTCCACGGGCGCGGCGCGCAGGCAGCAGTTGGGACGGCAGCCCTCGAACCCCTGTGACTTGAGACAAAATGGGTACGGCCATACATTCGACCAGGATAGTAAGGATGCGCGGTAAGGATGCAAGGGCCTTGGACGTTTTCCGTGCGGAGCGCAGCAGAATGCCGAAGGATGCCGAATACCGAAGGGGCACGGATGCAAGGGTAGCCTTGGAAAGTTGCCCCATCCTTACTATCATGGTTGACTGCAGCAGTTGGGATGGCACCCCATCGAACCCCTGTGACTTGAGGCACAATGGCTACGGCCACAGGAGCAGGAGGAGAGTTTGGAATGGAACGCACGAGCGGCTGAACCAACCAGGCGCGTCGGGCGGACGGACCCAACGGGAAGGTCGGGCGGGCGGGCCCAGACGGCCACGTCGAGCGGGCGGGTCGCTAAAGCGCCAACCCATCATGAAGGAAGTTTCGAGCAATAAGGCGATTCCCAAGTAACTCGTTGGGAAATCCCATGCGAGAGCATGATTCGTGAGTGTTGGGGGCGCGGCGCTGCAATAGCTTGCAAAGAAAAAACCACGTGAGAGTGCGATTCCTGGTTAAATTATAAAGACGTCCCGCGCGAGAGCGCGAATTTGAAATAGATGGTGCGGAAGTAGAAGGCGGCAGCAGTTGTTGTTGCTGTTGTTGTAAACCAGGGGCCAGGGGCTTAGTATGGTATCCACAGGCCTTCTCTTATAAAAAAAAACACAAGTGCGAGCCTTAGGTGGAGCTCTTAATTTCTAGACATACCATGGTCTCCTGAGGAAACCAAAAATAGTGATTCTTTAGAAATGAGAACTCATCATCACCATCATCATCATCATCATCATCATCATCATCATCATCATCATCATCATCATCATCATCATCATCATCATCATCAACAACAACAACAACAGCATCAACAATGGTGGTGGTAGAATGGGATGTCGGCTGGGGAGCCTCTTTTCGCCTCTCCAGCAGCACCCAGACCCTGGCCCCCGACCCGAACCCCAGAGCAGTAGAGGTGAGGGAAAGAGAAAGCACCAGAAGGAATTACGCGGGGAGGTCCTATTGAATACAAGAACCCCGTACTGAGGAACTCGGGCATAAACTTTGTTCCATGATGGCGCATCATCGGGACATCGACCATTGCGACGCCCTCCTTGGAAGAACATGCCGACGATAGAGGCACGAATTGGAAATCGAATGTTGGCACCCTCAGAACAAAAGTCCAAGCACGATCGTGCGCACACACGCGCACAACGCACACACATGACATGTGCACACACCCACACACATTACAGACAGCACGATCATGTCCACACACGCGCACGCACCACACAAACACATGACATGTCCACACACACATATGACAGGCGAGCCCCGCGCACTCAGCACCCGACGCAGAAAACCCTTGGACCACCCCACACTCCCCCTTGCCCACCCCCCACCCCCCGAACAGAGGAGAGAGCGAGGAAGAGAAAGCATGCCTCAGCCCAGCCCTGAACAATTGCGTGAATGCGAAGACGTGGGACAGAAGTTGAGATCAGGCCCCGAGCGCGCTGCCACGCTATCGCCCCCCGCCCGCCAGGAAAGGGGGCCCACTCCCTAAGAGATGTTGCAAGACCATTTCCCGGCGCAGGGGGAGTGGACTCCATGTCGTCAGGGTGCAAGACCCCCACTCCCTGGGGGGCGGTGCAAGACCACCTCCCTGCGCAATGGAGTGACCAGAAGGCGACGACGCCCCAGCGGACAGACCATCCGAACACATTCCCCTCCGGAGCTGTTTTTCTTTTCTGCTGCGTTTATACTGGGCCATAGTAGCCTTCTGCGCGCGCTTTGGCGGCGCCTCCCCGCCCGCCCCCCCCCTGCCCATCCCACCCCCCTGTCAGACGGCGCTCTACTCCGCGGAGGTCGGGGGACCACAACTGCACGGCGCCCCAGAGAGGCACCTTAGGATCAAGAGGCCCAGACCGAGGCGCCTCACCTCGCTTGTCGGTCCCCGGTGATCAAGCGGGATCCAGCCTCACGCTGCCCGTTGTGCGGGGGGGGGGGACTCTAGGAATCCAACCGCCCCCGCACATACATGGAAGCGAACCTTGCCCGCCCGCCCCACTCATAGTAGTCTGGGCCAACGTATTGCGGTGAGGAGCACATGAAGGGTCGTACCTGGGACGTGTTCCACAAAACGCACCCCCACCGCACCAAGCTTAGGTCACCGTGAGGCGATGGGAGAAGTGCGGGCCGGGAGGGACCCGAACGATCCCCCATCTGTGGGTTGGCCGCCCCCAGGCGCCATCGCAATTCTGCGCGCGCGCTCGACCGAACGCCCCCCTGGGCACCGGGAAAACGTTGCCCCTCGGTTCAACCAGGAGGTTTGGGCACTTCGAGCCTATTTCGGCGCCGTGCCGCCCAGTCTCTTACCCCGAGACGCATATCGTTCCCGTCCGACTCGGCGGTCTATGGACGTGCCGGTGCGGTTGGCAACCACAACCTGCACCGCGGCCCCGGGAGCAGGGCGTAGGTCGGTAAGAACTACTGGCGCGCCCCCCGACGCCATAGCTAAGGCTGGACGTGGCATTTGTTCCTGTGGATCCGAAGCGCTGCATGGAGCAACCCAGACACGAGACCCGAGACCCTACATGCACCAACCCAGCGCGCATGCCACGCCGCGCAAACACGCATACACAAATACACGCCAGGCAAATGCAATACTCAAACGCTCGCATGCGCGCGCAAAGACACTCGACCCGTCTGTTGCCAATATTCGTAGCTCCGCCGTGCCAACAACATCAACAATAACAACAATCAGTTCAAAAATATTCGTTCCTATCTGCTCGCGTGACACGAAGCACCTACACCCAAAAGCCTCGGTACCCGCCATCTCCGTTTTCGATCGCACCCCCTCTTGAGGCATAGCTTCCTTACCCGCCACGCGAAAGCAGCGCAGCCCCTAACACAGCGGAAGAAAAGGACGCTTGGTAGGGGGAGGGAGACGGATGCAACACAAGAGACACTACCAGGAGGGGGGCTGGGAGCCAGGCGGGCCCAGGCGGCCAGGTCGAGCAGGCAGTAGGCTTAAGCCTGAGTCCTGCATGAACTGCGGGGACGTCCCGAACGGTAGTGCGATTCCCAAGTAAGCCATGGGAAGAAGAAAAAACAAACAACAACAAAAAAAAAAACGAGAGCGTGAATCCGGAGTGTCGAGGGCGCGGCGTTTGGATAAATTGCGAGGAGGCTCCGAAGTTACACGCGAGAGCGCGGTTTTTGTATAAATTGTGAGGAAGTCCGGCGCGAGAGCGCGATTACATAATACACTGTGAGACAATATCGGACGAGAACCATTGTTGTTGTTGTAGTTCCGCGCCCAATACCACAATTTGATCACGAAGACTTCCCCATGTAAAAACAGGGTACGACCGCGGGGGGGGGGGACACTTCAAATGACAAACACGGAGCGCAACGGTGGGGGGGATCAACAAAAATGGTGTATCAAAAACGGAAATTCAACCAAACTAACAGCAACAGTCATTTAAGACTGTTCGCCCTTGTCTGCTCGAGTGTCCACTCAACGCGTATTTCCCAAACCCTCGATACCCGCCCTCTTCGTCTTCGATCGAACCTCTTTTGGGGGGTATACATCTCTTCCCTGCAGGCCGGGCCCCGGCAAGCGGCGGGGCGGCCGCGGACCGTCGGCCTAGCCAGCGGCAGCGCTGATCGGCGGGGCAGCCGCGGACCGACGACCCGACCCCAAGACGGGGACAGGGGACCGACCACCACGACGACGACTACGTCGACGACGACGGCGACGACGACGACGGCGATGACGACGAACGAAAGCGAGAGCGAGAGATAACGACAGCAGGGCCACGAAGGACACGAAGTAGGCCACGAAGGGCGACAGCGGGGACACGAAGAGAATGCGTATGGGGCCACGAAGAGCGCGAACGAGCGGGGGCCACGAAAGGCAGATAATGCGGGGTCACAGAAGGCAGCGATGGGGCCACTGAGGGTAGCAATTGGGCCACGTAGGACAATGAAGGGGCCACAAACGGCGACAGCGGGGCCACGAAGGGCATGCACATGAGGCCACGAAGAGCGCGAACGAGCGGGGGCCACGCAGGGCATACACATATTCGGCTGCGGAAGTCAAGGACGGGGCCACGAAGGCAGCAACGAGGCCACGAAGGGCAGCGAGGGGAGCCACGAAGGGCGACAGCGGGGCCACGAAGGGCATGCATATGGGGCCTCCACGGGCGCGAACGAGCGGGGGCCACGAAGGGCATACATACATGTACATGGGGCCACGAAGGGCAGCGAGGGGCCACGAAGGGCTGCAACGGGGCCACGAAGGGCAGCGAGGGGGCCACGAAGGTCTGCAACGGAGTTACGAAGGGCTGCAACGGGGCCACGAAGGGCTGTAACGGGGCTACGAAACAAAGCGAGGGGGCCACGAAGGGCTGCAACGGGGCCACGAAGGGCAGCGAGGGGGCCACGAGGGGCTGCAACGGGGCCGCGGAGGGCAGCGAGGGGCCACGAAGGGCTGCAACGGGGCCACGAAACAAAGCGAGGGGGCCACGAAGGGCTGCAACGGGGCAGCGAGATCCCGATTCCTAGGTAACCTGTGGTGCCCGGGTGTCGGGAGCGCGGCGCGTGAGTAAATTGCAAGAAATTCCAACGCAAGGGCGCTATCTTTAAATAGATGTCAAACAAGTCTCCAGCGAGAGCGCGACTCCAGAGCGCCGGGAGAGCGATTCTTGAAAACTTATGAAAGGAAGTCCCAAGCGATAGCGCGATTCCTGAATAACATGCGAGGAAGTCTCGGGCGGGAGCGGGGGTCCTGGCTAAATTGTGAGGAAGTCTCAGGCGGGAACCGTTGTTGTTGTAACCCGGGGGGCCAGGGGCACAGTTTGAGCATCAAGACTTCCCCTGTCAAAAAACAGTGTGCGAGCGTCGAGGGGCACACATTGATGGAGAAAAGACAAGATGCACCGGCGATGGGGGGATCAACAATAATTATTCTTCAGGAGTGAAAGTTCAACACCAACAACAATGAGCATGTTTAGACTGATCGCTCTAATCTGCTCGCGAGCCACTGAACACGTATATCCCCAACCCTCGATACCCGCCCTCGTCGTCTTCGATCG